TCTTTGTTATGGCAACTGAGGCTTTGTCCTTAATGATACAGGAAGGACTAAGCACATGCTAAGGAAAAAGAAGTGAAGAAATTAACATAAACTCTTCTTTTAAGAAGTCAAAAGGAAAAGGAAAGCGAGAGAGAACAATAGTTTCCACAGGAAAGGGACTCAAAAGAGGTGTTTTACTTTTTAAAAAAATCAATGATTTTACTGTTCTTACCATTTTAAAGTCTACCATCTCCTCTCCTTATTCATAGCATAGTTTTAATTTTGCAGAAGTAATTTTAAATTTACTGCTTGGGAAATAAGCAGGTTTTATTTTTTGTGATTATGATAATTCTGTTTATTAGTTAGCTCTTTGGGACATTTACTGTTCGTGGATTAGTACAGAGCTGCCTTCAAATGTGACTTGGGGAAATTCAAAGTTTTGCCAGTCAACTAGAGGGTGATTTGTATTATTAAAGGGGTCCCTTGAAATACGAAGCTTCTGAGCAGTTAAGTGTACACAAACCATTTAACCACATAAGAGAGGGCCAGGGAAGGGAACATTAACTTGTGAGAAGTTACTGTAATGATCATGTTTGCATGTCAGCAGGAAAGCAGATTTCAATAAATAAAAATGTTAGTTCATGGAATTTTTTCCAGGAATAACTTTCTCATCTGAAGAGAAGAATTCCTACATCGTCTACACTGCAATCAATTGCCCCTTTGTGGGCTGAGTGATGGTCTAAGTTCCCAACTCCTGCTCCTAAAGTGACCTGAGCAACAGGGAGCTCTGAGAACAGCTTTTGGGGTAACCCCACAGCAGCTCTGAACCATCTGCTGTCAAGGGAATGGCAGTTACATAATTAACCATAATAGCTGCAAATGATATAGTTACAACAAAAACCCTGTTGGTATTTAGCTGAACTAAAAAAAAAAACAATGGTGTAAATTATAGCTATGTGTATAATAAAATTTCTTATTTGCATTTCACATAAAATTCACCAAGCTCCTTATTCACTCATTACTCACCCATTATGGGTTTTTTAAATGGCACTTTGAAAGTTTGCTTTGGCTTGGGGTGAATTATTTGCCAAGACTTTATTCCTGGAGTCATGGCTCCTCGGGGACTTCTTTACCTTTTGGCAAATTCATAGCTCATTTTGTGGGTGGTAGCGGTTTGTGGCCACTATGTATGCATGTGTGGTCATATGTGGGGAGTAGTCTTAGGATATCCTAAATAATGGGACATTTCATAAGGAAGGGTCTTATATCCCAGAGTAATTAAACAGAAAAAAGAAAAAGCAGAAAATGAGTAAAGCATAGTAATAAACATAGCAGCAACAATTAGGTTGGTTCCTTCCAATTATGCATGTGCTTGAATAATGGGCCGACTTAATAGGCGGAAGAGATGTGCATTACAAATATCCAGGGAATGTTTGCATAGCAAGAGGCACAAATACAAAAGTGCATGAGAAGGTGCAATTGAGGCAAAGCTGTTTCTGAGACTAAAAATCGTGATAAACTTTAAAAAGCCATAAGCGCAATGTTGGATACAGATGAGCAGAGGAAAGGATTTTTTTTTTGCACGTACACTTTCATTAAAAAATGTGGTCTTTAGGACCAACATCAGTATTTTAGGGGAAGAACTGGGGGCATAAGACAAGGTAGCTGTAGACATTCACCAATTCCAAGAGGGCAAGGAAAATTCTCCCTCCCCAAACCTCCCCGACTCACTGCAAGACACTGGCTTGAAATATCTTCCCTAATGCGCTCAAGACTAAAGGTAAAGAGTATTTCAGAAATGAAACAGAGTTTATGGAATATTAGGAAAGTAGTTTCTAGATTTATAGAGATTTCAAGCTAGAAGAGATCATCGTGTACTTTTAGTTGCTGCTTCCTCCCAACCTATATACTTTACAGATGTGATATGTCATTGGGTCCTCCAAGAAATAATAAATGACTGGCCACATATTGTGTACCAAAATAATGGCGTAAGAATGCTGGTTTCTAACTCTCTATCTAAAGGTCTGTTTCACACCACTGAGCACGCACTGCTTGTACTTATAAGGGTTAAGGGAAGGGCCTGGTGCATTTCACTGGAGGGTGAGTTCTAAGACTAGGGGCTGCATGAGAACTGGGCGGGTGACAGAAAGAAGATCTAGGGGTGGTGCATTATGCATTTGTGCCTGGACACAGCCGTTTTCTATTTTGCCTAATATTGGCTTAAATGACAAGGAAAGCTTAATGCCATCAATATACCATCATAAAGTAGCTTGCTCTTCTCCTGGGTATAGTTAATTTGCAGGTAAACCATAGCGCTCACAAGGCACAAGAACAATGGGCGCTTTTATAGTCATTTGTGTGCTTAGAGGTTGTCCTGGGTCCCACAACGGACAGTTGCTACCCTAACATGAAGCCGCATCAATGCAACTGTGCATTAGGCTAATGAATGTGTTTTCCTGGAAACCATACTAAGCAGAGAAAGAAGTAAAGAATCTCTACCACCTGAAATTGACCTCAAGTGGCTCAAAGTAGTTTCAATACTTCCATTCCATTTAGAGGTGATTCTGTCCCTTTAAAAACACTATTATTGATCCTTCATTTCCCCCAATATCTGCGGTTTTAGTTGGGTTTCAAATAGATCTAAAAATCAAGTGGGTGCAATTTCTCCTGATGCGATCCAAACCATTGTTTTCTTTTTCCTCATATATACAAGCCATCCGGTTTTTATTTGAATTATTTTTTTTTTTGAGGATGACTTTGTACTATGTTATGTTACCTCGTGATATTTAGTGTTGTTGGGATTTATTGGATTTCTGGGAATAGTATAATAAAAAATGATAATATCAAACATCATTAATTAGGTGTCAAACAAAGTAATCATATTGTTTCTTATTTTAATTACAATAGAATTCAAGTTGATTTGCTTATTTTACCAGAGTAATATGTGATTCCAAACTGTTAAAATCTAAAATCTTTAGCAGACAGAGGACAATTATAAAAAAAATCCTCACTTCACAAGAAAACCCGGGTTATTAATCAATTTGTTTAACTGGCTGAGCAGTAATAAACATAATGTGCTAACATCTCTTAGCAAATAGATTTTTGTAAACAAGCTGCTTCCAAAAATATTTTATGAGGCATCGTTAACATTCGGAGATGCTGCTGTTTAGGTTGGAAACCTCGGTGATCCATCTCGCACAGCGCGGCTGGAATGAAGAGACCCCTGGAATCGCTCAGTGAGAACTGAAGAGGGGCCTGGGAAGTCATGACCCTTGGAAGGTGTTGGTTTACAGAGTGTGAAGTGGGCAATTCACCAGCTGCACCCAGGAAGCGGTGCTGCAAATGCCTGCGGCTAGGAGTCAGAGGACACGTCATGTTAAAGGACGCCAGCCACCACCCCTGCAGACCCACAATTTATCGGGTCTAACTTCAGTGACAGGGGAAAAAACTTCTTAAGTTAGGATACACTTGCATATTTTAACTGAAGATTATTATAACGAAAAGCAATCAATTACCCTCTCAGTTGTTTTTGGTTTTTGGACCATTTTAGGGCTCCTTCCTCAAGGGCAAATTCAGTAAGGACGATGCTCAACATGTGAGGTGCAACATCTTAAGCAAAGGCCATACACTCAGAGCCCACTGCTGGGTTCCTGGCTGTCAGGTATGGACATGGGGAGGGAGAGGAGCTTGGTGCTACCACTTTCCTATGAAGCTCACAAGACAGAATTTATTCCTTGGAAGCTGAAAGGGTTAAATAAGCAGCTACAGGGCAAGAGCAAATGAGGTAGGTGTCAAGGTTTTTAGAATTTTTTTTTCATGTTATTATCAATGATCTTTTTCTTTAAAATGTCACTTAACTATTTCTCTGCTTCCGCTTCTCCATAGAATGGATGTACTAATGTTAATTCCCATGTTCCCAAAGAGGTAATGGTGGGAAGATATGCTGATAAACATTTTTGAAGCTCTTTGACTTCCTTAGAAAGAAAGCAGTCTTTTGAAAAGAGAAAATATTTAGATACTCAGCAATACTGGGTCAAAAATCTCTAACTTTTGATCACTTTTAAAAATAGCTTTTTAAGGTGAAATATATTAGTGTATTGTGTGTGCGTGTAGGTATATTATGCATATGCTTTTTCTCTGATTACAAAGTAAAGAACAAAAGCACTGAACGTAGGAATTTTAGGGCTCAATTTTAGTGAGAGATAGATGCTTTAGTTAAATGAATCATCTCCCTTACTTTGTAGGATTTTTTTTGTCTCCTTCCGCTCTACTTTGAGTGACACTCTTATGCATCTGTCCTGCAGGGGTAGGAGCAAGACCTGTTTGAAGTTTAAATCCGTGACACTCTCTGTAGAACGGTGGCAACCTGATCAAAACAGTAATCAAGCAGAAATGCTCTTTCTCAGAGTGAACACACACATGCGCGCACACACACACCTCCCTGCATTCAGAGCCGAGGTTTTCCTTCTACCCCCAGCTAATAAAATCAGGAGGCTGCACTGAGGCTGAGCGGCAGGCAGTTTGATGTCCTCAGCAGGATACGGGCAGTCAGAAGTGGCGCTGTAAATCCAGAGCGGGGCTTCAACACCGTGTTAAGTGTGGCCCGCGTCTCAGAGATTTCCCTTTGATGCAAGTTCAGTATATTAATGGGAAAAGCATTCACTTTTATTTGTCTGTACTGTCTGCGACAGCAAGGCTGCCTCATTTAGCCTGGGCCAACATGAAAATACGCAGAGAAGCAATCTGTTGCAAATTAGCACAGCTCCCCTTTCATTTACTAGCTAGTAATTGGAAGGGGTTAAGAAAGTGTAACTTATCGGACCACGTGAGGGTATCTGCTTGTGCGGACAGCAAGCCTCCCCCCGAATTGCCCTAGGAGCCCTGAGGCAATCATCCTTCCTCATGGCCACTTGGCCTGAGAGACAACACTGACGCGTGTGAAATGTGTGCGCTTTGCTAGGTCTGAGGAGGCAGTTTCCTGGACTCCCCAAGGGGGTATTTGTGACTCTGTCGGAACTTACCTTTCTTTAGATATGTTTTTACTTTCCCGTTTCCAAATCGTCTTGAAGTCACTGCAGAACTCGTACCACACCATAAACACGTAGTTTGGAGTGATCTCTTTCTCACCAGACTTTGGCTTCATCCCAAAATATCCCACTGTCGTTTCAAAACTGCAACAGGCAGGAGGGGAAAACAGAGTGAGGGAGAGGGTGAGAAACTGTCAACACCATTAGGGTGGGTGGGGGGCCCCGAGGGCAGTTTCCCACTTCCCCACTCTCTGTCTCCATTACTGTGGTTTATCCTAAACCCCAGAAAACCCATTTGCTCAAATCCACTTTCCAAGAAATTCAATTTGACTGGGGATACTCCTCGTCATATCTTATCCATGTAAAATCCAGCATGTGCAAGTCTGGGGGGTATACAGGTAAAACTTTGAGTTTGCTCTTCATCTCCAATCTATGCCATGTACCTGCTCTTCACTTGAAGTTTAATGATGACGGGGAACGCTGCTGGCATACTGACTCTGTGGCATGAAGCAGTGGTCCGTTAGCGAGCCCAGTGGGAATAATTAATCTGCTGAGTGTTTCATGGAAAATCAAGACTGTTCTCTCCTATTCTGGTACCCCCTGGCGTTGTAACCTGGGGCCGATCACTCAGCATCAGACTCAATTTTCTCAAGGGTAAAATAAGGGACTGAACCTCTATGATCTTTAAGAAGGCTACATTTTTAAAGCTTTATATGATACAAGAATACAGACCACCAAATGCACAAAAGTGTATGTACAGTTGAGGGGATAGCAAGGTTCGGATGGAAAATCATCTTTGATCTTAATAAATGATCTCCAATCTGGACCAGGTTTTGCAAAGGAGATTCCCAGATATCACTAAGAGCCTCCTGACCTACCCCATGGACTCTCACACCAGACTAGCCAGGCCTCCCAAGCAGCCCTTCTTGGAGGCACTAGCTTTGCAGCAATTTATAGCTCTGCACTCAATCTTTCTACCCAGCCGCCCCCACCCACCCCAAGCCTCACAAGCTCATTTGCCATGAGCAAGAACACTTAAATAAATGGCTCCCTTTTCTAGGGTGTTGGAAACTAATCAAAGCAGGAATGGCTGGCCAGGTTTATGGCTACTCAGTGCTCTATCATCTGTTCAGACACAGCATTTTTTTTGTGGCCATCCTGAATACTGAGTTCCTAATGGAACTCTATTCAATGGCAATTGTAAAACCCCGAAGCCCCGTTACTATTACAGAGCATACTTTCATCTCGTTCTCAGTTATTGGCCAATATGTATCTCATAAGATTTTACCACAGTTCACAGATGAACTGTTAATTGATTCCATGGCTATGATTAGGCGAGATCCAAGCTGGGGCTGCAGCTCTGAGTCCCATAAATTCTTTGTGCTTCTGTAAATAATAAATCTGTTTTTAATGCAAATTAAAACTACTGGTCAGGGAATTTTGGCTCCCAGTTATTAAAAGACTGGGAAGTGTATAAGTGGAGAAAGGCAACAACTGCAGTAATTTCTTAAGGGACTCTTACAATACCAAACATGCATATTTTGGCGCAAAACCAGCAACGGAAGAAAGTAGCAATGTCCACTTTCACCCAGGCGGGACCCATTTTGTGGCAAGCAGAATACTGATAACACCAAAGCACACTCCATGGCATCTAGTTTTATTTCATTCAAAATGAAAATTATATTAATGTAGCATGAAAATGCATTGTAGAGAGTTCTGTGAACGATAGGAACCGGCCACGGTTTTCTTATAGGGTCCTGGGGCTTTTGAATTGGAAGAGACTTACATGTCAACTTGTCCAATGTTCTCATTTTACAGATGAGGAAACAAAGACCTGGAAAGACTGAATGTCCCTTTTTATTGGCAGCGTTGGGCTAATCTTGGGCCTCCTGGTTCTCAGGGAAATGCTTTTTCCTCCCTCTGTCCCTGTGGCTCATGCTCGCTGACCCGGGCATTCAAGAAATACAACAGTGCCCCTCCCCCGCATTTCCACTTTAGACACAGTTGCCCCTGTATCTTCCATAATGTGTGTTGCCCCCAGCAAAGCAAATCATTATTTTCTTCTCTTCTAGATGCTCACCTTCTATACAGAACCATATTTCTTTGTGCAACAATAGAGAGGAGAAAGTCTTCCACGGTGAGTCTTTAGGGGAACAAATGGTCTTCCTACAGCCCAGCAGGACACAGTGAAGAGCACAGAGCCCCAGTCCTTGCTTCTCAAATCACCCCCACACCTGGAGCCTTATTGGGAGTCTTGAGTGCGAGACCAGGGCATTGCACGCACTGGTGCCGTTGCAGAGAAGGGCAGCTCTGTTTGGGGGCTATCGCAGAGCTTGAGGAAAGCATGCCAGCATCCTGCGGCCTGGCTTTCCCCGACTCTGAACTGAAGCTAACCATGTACCTCCCCCCTCTCCCCTGGGAGCTGTGAGGTCCCGCTTACTCACCCTCAGACGGGGCGAAAACTAAAGGAAAGGCAGAACTTGAGCATTTCCCCGCTATGTGCTTTGGGAGCTAAGAAGGCAAGCGAGCCTCTTCAGGAGAACCAAAGTAAACAGAGTCGCAGAGAATGGCCTGGCCTTGGCACCGCAGCTGTGATGGAGAGCAGCTGCTCCGAGGTGCGCCTTGTTTGAATTCAGTGCTCTTCCTTTGCCCAAGGAAAAGCTAAAAGCTGGTCTATGAACCTGCAGCTACCTGATAAAGTCTAGGCCACTGTCCTCCCAAGCAAAACTCTCTTCCTTTCAAATTCAATTTTGATTCACAGAAGACAGATGATTGAAAACCTTCCGAAATTTGGGCAAGAAAATTATAGATCTTAAGCAGTCAGGAGAATTTTCTTCAACAGACAAAGGGGCAATCATGCTTTCCGAAACTTTTATTTGCCAGCACATGACTCTTGCTTTCGACTTCTAACAAGTGGATGGATTTCTGATCATGTTTCACATAACTTCTTGACTTCACTCTAAACTATTCCTTGACTCCTTTTCTCCCTGCTACAATTCCTCGTCTGATCTGTGTCTTTACAATTCAGCTAAACATTTCTAAAGTGCAGACGATGATTCTATCAAAGAGCCCGTGGCCAACTGAACGGTTTTACTTCTGCAGCGCAGAGAGGCCAGAGTGGAACACATCCACTTACTGTTTTACATGCGTGCCTTCAGAAACTGCTTAGGAAAAGCAAATATTCCTTCGCCTCAGAGTAAATTGTTTCTCTTGAGAATAAAACATGAGAATTTCCTAAATCTCACACGAATATTGCAACACTGACCACCAACCTCCTTAAAGAGGGCAACCAAACAACTGTGGTTTCTACATTAAAGATGGGATCGGACATATTTCATGTATGACATGAAAGCTAGACTACCTTCACCACAAAGTCACGGAAAACGCTGACAACCAGAATTTATGGCCCCCCTCAGCATGGCTAATGCACAGCAGCAGCTTCGGCCCCTCGGAGGTGGGCCCCCTGTTTCTTACGCAAGAATCTTGAGGAAGTATTAGAAGTGACACCCACCCCAGAAACCGAATTTCTGTTTGGCCTGATACTCATATGCCCCTAGTTGAGGGTCTCTTTATGCATGCTGATTATTTCTGTAACACAGACGCAGCACTTTTACACACGGAGGACGGGAAGTTACTGTAGGGGTAAGGCCAGTACAGGGGCACAGAAACACACACACACACACACACACACACACACACACACAATCAGGTGACGTCTTCATTGCCAAGATTATCATGTGAAGATAAAGTTACGGTTCAAGAACATGTCTGCACTCAGGAAAATGCAGGGCTTGCCTTCACCTCGCTCTCATCTGCATTTTAATTTTATTGGCGAGTACAGTGGAGAGCAGGGCAGGATGTGGGACTTGTCAAAACAGAGCAGACGGCACCGGTTCAGTCTTTCAGAGCCCCCGGGAGGAGAAGGGTTCATTTGTAGAGTTTGTTCATTTGCATTTAGTGAACTCCTCTCCTCGCGTATTTGTAAAGTCCATTTTTTTCCACATGTGCCTCTTCCTGCTCTTACCTCTTATTTAATTTTCCAGTACTTTTAGAAATGTACCAGCAAAATTTATCTCAATTTTCTGAGTTGAATATGAGAAAGCCTCAGTATATTCCCATTCCTCCTCTAAGAGGGAGGGGCAGCCACACTGACTAACCTGGCCAACTGATAAAAAGAAAGCCCCTCTGGGGGCCACAGCTGGTGATTATTGGCCTCTACCATCTGATGGCCATTGAGAGAGAGAAGAACAAACAAGAGGTGTGAAGTAGGGGGGAGCTTGAATAGGAGACCTCTGAGGTCTCTGACCAATTCTGTGGGAGTTTTCCATATAGAGGTCATTCCCTTCTCCCCGAGATGTCCTCTAGGCTCTGAGGAAAGACACAGTAAGCCTCTTAGGTGTTTGTAATAACTGGTTGAATCTAGTTGTAATGCTAAGAAGGATCACGTTGTTCCTGACTCCCAGGAAGTGGTTCAGGAGCAGAGTGATGGAGGAGAGGCAAAGAGATGGAAATAGCGTCATGACATGGGAGGCAGGTGAGTCACTTCCGAATGATCTCCTGCTTTTTTTTCTTAAATCTCTTGCTTCTTGAGGAAAAATATTCCCAAGTCCTGTCACAGTGTTTTCACTCCAGCTCTCCACAGGCTGTTATTGTTCATGGAAGCATAGTATTAACAAATGGGGCCAAAAGAATCGTCAGTCAGACATTATGTGGATGAAACAAGCCAGTCACAAAAGGAAAAGTACTGTATGAGTCCACTTACAGGAGGTCACTAGAGCAGTCAAAGTCACAGAGACAGATATTAGAATGGTGGTTGCCAAGGGCTGGGGGAAGGGAATGGGGAGTTAGAGTTTAATGGATCCAGAGTTGCCTTTGAAGAAAATGAAAATTTCAGGATATAGATGGTAGTTATGGTTGCACAGCAATGTGGAATGTACTTAATAATAATAATTAATAATAACAATAAAATGGCTAGTCAAAGAAAGAGCTGGGGCCAAGTTAGAGCTGCTTACCTTTTCTGAGCATTCTCCAGGTGACTTTCTTCCATTTTATGCTCTTTTTTGGCTGTAAAAGAGAAATAATTACGATTAAAACAGTATTTTTTTCATCATATTTTTGCATAATATTCTAACTTTGATTACCCATTCATTATAGAAATAAGCCCAAATTCAGGGGTTGGCAGCCCCTACCACACGTACTGGAAAAGGCACTCAATTCACTACATTTATCACCACTGCATTCTTTTTCTTAAAATCCTCAACTGAGGATGTGATTAGAGAGAGGAAGAGAGAGAGAAAGAGAGAGAGAGAGAGAGAGAGAGAGAGAGAGAGAGAGATGTGAGAGAGAAACATTGACTGGTTGCCAGCCCAGGTATGTGGCCTGAGGACCGAGAACCTTTTGGTACATAGAACAGGGACAACACTCATCATGCTCAACCAACTGAGCCATTCTGGCTAGACACCATTGCTTTCTTGAGAATAGCTATAGCTATCAGCAAGGGGTGTGTGTATGTGTGTGTGTGTGGGGGGGCATTTAATTTACGTTCTTACTGGGACACTTGTGAGAGTGAAAGGAGGTGGCAGTAATAATTGCACCAGGACAAAGTCATACATGGGGACAATCCTGGCCAGGTTGGAACAAGTGGTCACCTGGCTATGGTTGGCCTCTTTGTGAGCCTTGGCATGGGCTCAGCACTTCCCCTCCTCTCCCAAACATTATAAACCCAGTGCCATTTGCAGTGCTGCTTAGATTCAAACAAATTAATTGAGTCCTTTCACACACTTTCTCTACACTCACAGGCCCCATTGACAATCTGGGAAGGCCTACGATTTCCTTTCTCAGAATAATGTTTTTAAATGCATTGAAAATAATACTTAAGATTATTAAAGAAATCTGTGATAGTGAGATACAATTCTGAATTTAAAGATTAGGAACCCATGCTCTGACATCAATGTGTGAGAGAAACATCGATCGATTGCCTCCCATATGCGCCCTAACCGGGTATCGAACCCACAACCTAGGGATGTGTCCTGACCAGGCATCGAACCTGCAACCTTTTGGTGTATGGGACAATGCTCCAAGCAACTGAGTCACCCAGCTGAGACTTACCATTGATTTTAAAATGTAAATGTTAAGTTACTCCCATGCTTAAAATCTTCCAACAACTTTCCACCATCCTTGACATAACGGTTTAAAGTCTTCACAATGTCCCAGAAGGCCCTGCAAGTCTGCTTTCTGGCTCCTCTGTGACATTACTTTTTTTTTTTTTAAATCCTCACCTGAGGGTATTTTTCCATTGATTTTTAGAGGGAGTGGCAGAGAGAAGGAAAGACAGAGAAGAACATCAATATGAGAGGAACACATAGATTGGTTGCCTTTTGCACGTGCCCCGACCAGGGCCCAGGTCAGCAAGGATCCTGCAACTGAGGTATGTGCCCTTGACAGGAATCAAACCCGGGACCCTTGGGTCCACAGGCCAATGCTCTATCCACTGAGACAAACTGGCTAGGGCTGTGACATTACCTCTTCTTTTCCATGCTCATTCCTTTCCAGGCTGGCTGGCCACCTTGCTGATGCTTGAGCACACTGAACGCATGCACTTGCCTTTCCACCTCCCTGGGACACTCTGCCCAGTCTCTGCATGACTGGCTCTCTCACCCGAATAGGTCTCAGACCAAATATCACCTTCCCTCACCTCATTCAGTAAAAGATCATCCCTTGCCATGCATCCTCCCCTCCCCTACCTCCTCATGTTACCTTTCCCCCCATAGCCATCATCTACCTGATGCACTAATTCATTTGCTCATTTGTTTATTAAACAACAACTGAATGTAAGCTGTAGGAAAGAAGCAACTTCACCTGGCTTGTTTTTCGTTGTGCCTTAAACATGGAAAGTGCCTACATATTAAATAATTTATTTTAGCTTAAAAATGAAAAATTGACCCTGGCTGGTGTGGCTCAGTTGATTGGGCATCAACCTTGTGCACCGAGAGGTTGCTGGTTTGATTCCTGGTCAGGGCACATGTCCGGGGTTGTGGGCTTGATCCCCAGTAGGGAGCATGCAGGAGGCAGCTGATGGATGTTCCTCTCACATGGATGTTTCTCTCTTTCCTTTCCACTCTCAAAAATCATAAACTATTCTTTAAACAAAGGTATATGTTGAATATAGGTTGCTTAAAAAGAGATATACTAGGATTCCTAAACCTAAAGTATTATATTTAGAATATTAACATAGGCTAAAGAAGGTTGTGAGGATAAAGTTGTATACTATATTCTCTAAGTCCAGTACATTTCACTTAACAAAAATAATTTTTTATATTGACACTAGAAGCCTGGTGCATGAAATTCATGCACTGGGGGAGGGGGGGGAGGATGTCCCTCAGCTCGGCCTGTGCCCTCTCACAGTCCAGGAGCCCTTGGGGGATGTCTGACTGATGGCTTAGGCCTGCTCCCCCCAGGGACCAAGCCTAAGCTGGCAGTTGGACATCCTTAGCTCCCACCACTGCTGCTGCGCTCACCATCTATGAGCCCGGCTTCTGGCTGAGTGGCGCTCCCCCTGTGGGAGTGCACTGACCACCAGGGGGCAGCTCCTGCATTGAGCGTCTGCTCCCTGGTGGTCAGTTCGCGTCATAGTGACCTGTCATTCCGCCATTCGGTCTATTTGCATATTAGCCTTTTATTATATAGGATGATTTGGCTTTGATAACTATACCATTTTAGGTAAAGCCATAGTTATGGGAATCTTTTGTGATATAATTTCCCCCCACCCTCTAAGCAGCAATCTCTGAATTAGTATGGTTCTTAGCCAATCAGATACAGAGAAGTGACCCATGTCTCTCATAGGTGACACCAAGTTAGTTCCCCCAAATGTGAAACAACCAAGTGGTTTGCTCTTATCCAGTGATTCTTAATTATGTGCCTAGTCAAACAAGAGGAGAATTCTTCCAAGGCCTGAGTGGTCTTCCTGGACACCTTTGCTGTTCTCCATCACCAATGGTCTCTAACTGGCTGCTCCCATGCTGTGTTAAGTACACTATGGTCGAGCCATCATTGCATATACATTTAGTGACAAGAAATATGCTCCCCACTGAATTAAGCATTAGAAGAGCACTTGCAATGGCTCTATGAATATGGCTATCTGGGAGGAAAACGGCATCCAAATACAAAAAGAGGTATTACTAAGAGGCAATGCATATAGTACAATCACTGAGGGTTTTGGGGAAAAGAGTTCTCAGGAAAATGGGAAGAACCTAGAGATCTCAATTTTTCCCAAGCAAAGGGTCTACACACAGAAAGAAAGGGTAGCCCCAGTCCATGGTGTGACCTGGAAGGTCTCCCAGCCCAAAATACTTCTTCTGCCACAATGTGTGACATTCCTAACCGTGTTATTATACATTTTAAAGTTTCAGACAAAACAGAAAGACATTATCTGTAAGGAAAATATTTAAAGACTGGAGTCACATTCACAAATTCTAATACCTCCAACAAATAGGGCAACTACAGGCCAAGTGCAATATGCTGATATTCTAAAATTTGACCCCTCACTTCTCAATATTGGATCTGACACAGTTTCAGTCTAGGGAAGCCAGAGGGAGTGGTAGGGACATGGGAAGGCCATGCCCCATTCAAGGGAGGAAAGGTACTTGCCATTGTTACCAGATCTCCTATCTTTTTCATGGAAGCTAAGATTTTTAAATGAATGTTCTCAACTTAGAAAAAAAAGTTTCAAGCACTCGGCAGGACAAAGAGTACATTCCTGTTGGCCATATCACCCTGTAAGTCCTCACTTAAGCCTTGAGTAGCTACTGATATATGGCATAGGAGGGTGTGTTCTTTCTTCTGTGTGCCAGATGGGTGCTGGGATTCCCCCACTGAAAAAAGGCAGACAAAGGTCCCTAGAGAACTTTCATTCTGGCTGGGGAAGATAGACAATTAAATCCAAGAGAAGAAGATCAGGTATGAGCAATTTTTGATAAAGGGTAGCAAAAAAAAATAAAAAAAATCAGAGCATGAATTGTTGCCTATAAAAGGAGACTCCATGTGGGTTACTGCATTAAGGGGTACCTGGGCAGCCAGAGCATGCTACAAAGGTATTGGGCACAAAAAAGGGACACTGTTTAATTGAAGATGATAAGTCTTAGATAAAAACTGTCCTTACCTACAACTTTGGCTAGCAGTGGTCTGATCTGTGTGTGGGATTTACCTAGGCTTCTATTCTACATAGCCACATGGATAGTAGTATTTCGGTGCTTCTTTTTCAGTTTAAACTTGGTACTACATGTGTGGTTGGAAGGTCAGGGGGAGGGCAGACTTCTTAGAAGTTTGGAGAAGTGGTCAGATACTGACACTGTACCAGGGGAGACAGATATAACAGGCATCCCCAACCTTGCTCTTCTTTCTCCTCTTTCTTTCACAAAAAGGCGTCTCATTGTCTGCAATGACTTAAATATAATTGTTTTCCAAGTTGGGGGACTAAAGAAGCTGCTTAGCATGCAGATAGTCTCACAGTTTAAGACAATAAAGAAATAAAGAAAAAAATCAGAGTACTGAAAGTGAGAATTTTTGCTTAACATCAATTCTGTCTTCCAAACTCCTTTATGAAGGCTGTGCATATACTGTGGCGATGTGAATGTCTGGAAGTGCTCAGAGAACGCTGAGTGGTAAGTTTGTATGATGACCTACCTACAGCATACAATACATGTTCTGTCATTGGTAGAACTATGTTGCTTTTCTTCCACTTTCATTTCCTCCAATAAAGAACAATGGTTATTTTTCATAATTCCATGTCACAGAGAGAAAGCAATATGGCTTCTTTAGAAGGTTTTTTTTGTTTTGTTTTGTTTAAGAAACATTAATGTGGGTTTTATTTAATGCAGCCTTTACTGAACAAAGAACATTTGCTTTTGCATAAACCTTCAGTACCATGGAACTTTGTTTCCTGATTCATTTCATGGCCATTGTCTCATTAGTTATCATAAAATTGCCTCACAAAAACAATTCTGAAATTCATAAGTACTGTGGCCTACCAAGTGAAGCAGAAATGGCCCTTTTTATTCATTGGTTGT